TAAAAGAAAATAAATTTAACAAAGCAAGAAACCTCACAAGTCACTCCAAGAAAGTAACACAACGAGAGGCAAGTAAGCCGATCTTGTACTCTTTAAAACTCACTTTACCAAGTAGTCTTTCACAGTTCGTATCGGAGTTTGATTACTAGCAAAGGCGATAAGAAAAACCTAAAAGCTCTAAGAGGCCAAACAAAGGTTAGACTCCAAGAGAACAAGAATGCAAAGAATGAAGAAGTATGCAAACTCTTTAGTCCTACTAACACAAGGAAGGTAATGTGTTAGATAATGCAAAAGAACAATAACAGGGAAAACAAAAGAACCTAAAGCACTAAGAATTAAAGAAAAAAAGGACCAAACCAGAAAACCTAGAAAACGCTGGATCAACTTGAGAAACGTTTTTGAGGGGGTTACCGGTATCCAAAAATTCTGGAAAAATTCTTGAATGTCTTTAGATGTGTCAAAAAACCACCTGTAAAATTTCAGAATCAAATACCTTCAGTAGTATCCAGTAGACTCTGTTGAACGGTGAGTCCTCAAACAATCTATTTTTCTTGATCGCTTTGTTCGAAGTTGTTCTTGATCTCCAAAAATTCTGATTTTTTGTGTAAATGATCTCCAATATATGGAGTTTCAATATGGAAATTTTCACCACAAAATTCCTCCTGTAGAATTTTCAAGAAATTCGACAATATTCTAGACCGAATCTGCCGATAAAACTTGAATAATGTATTTGAAGGATCTAATGAACTCTGATCGAAATGAATTTTGGACTGGAGATTAAAATTAAGACGAATATGATATCTGGAGAAAATCAGCCCTAAATACCTTCGTTTGCAATTTTTTTTTGAAATTTTGGCTTTTTTGTTTTTTTTTGAAAAAAATAGCAAACTAACAAGAAGGATTTGAATCTAAATTAAAATTAAATAAAAATAACCTGAAACGATGAATCTTCTCTGAACTAGCTCCGTTGGGGTACCTTGACGGTGTTGTGTGCAAGAACAAACAAGATTACTTGCTTCTTTCCAAGAATCGGCCCAACTCTGATACCAATTGATAGGGAAGCGGTGGCGGGTTAATGAACGTTGCTCTTGTTGAAGAATCAAACCTAGAAAGCTCTAGACTCGATTAAAACCAAAGGGGATGAATAGGGGAAGGTGGCAGCAGTAACTAGGATTCTTTAGGGTTTCTTCAAGGCAATAAGATTAGAACAAAATAAACAAAAGATAAAGAAATTGAAAATAAAATAAGATAAGATAATAAAGAAATCAAAAGATCTCCCTTACGTGGACGGTAAAGATGATTGATGGTGCAGATGGATTTGTGGAAAAATAGATGGATAAGTGTCCTATCGAACTCTCCTAGTCGCAATGAAAAGGCAAACTCAATAAACGGCTCTAACCAACCCTCCTAGTCGCGATGAAAAGGAAAATTGGAGTGTGAAGATTAATCTCCCTCACAAGAACTTGAAAGAACTCCAGGAGAAGAAGCTTCGAAGGCACAAGGCAATCAACACTTGCAAAAACGAACTCTCGTTGTATTATTAATCAAAGAAATCTGATTTCAAAGTTGAATGAAGCCTCCTTTATATAGGGGCTGAATTCTAAAGGTCCTAAATAACTAAAGAATAAAATATTAATAAACTAAACATGTTTTAACTCTAATTCCTAATAAAATAATAATAACTAAAAATATTATTTTAACCCAACCTTAATTCCTAATAAAATAATAATTCTGATCCTAAAAGATAATTAATCATCTTATATTAAATTATATTACAAATAATCAATATAAATATTGAAAATTCTTAATATTTACAAAATAACGTATTAATCCCGTATAGGATTTCCTGCATGCACCGTCTTCAGTAAAATGGTCATATCTTGAGTTCCCGATATCGGATTGACGCGATTCAATAACCGTCGGAAAGATAAGAGATAGACGATTGTATCTCCAGAAAACATGTCGACCGGATAACAGGATCCCCTTCAAAAAGTTGTTGCAAATCTGCTGTTATTAGACCCTTACGAATGAATGCTTGAACTGCGATTTGAAGTTTGTCTTTAAGAAGTTTTATCCGGCCTTGTGTGATAGAGCCAAGTGGTATAGTAAATTCATCATCCTTAGCTTTAGGGCATGTGGTGCATGTATCATTCCCCCTGTTCAACGGTTGAAATATTTGAATTTTACACTTAGGGAACCGATTCCCTATAAGGGGTATCGATTCCCCCCACGCTCCAAGCTGTTTTATTAATAGTTTTCGTAGTTAAACGGCTCCATTGACTCCACTAATCATCCCCAATGTTCAGAATCAATTGAGGGAGTATTTAAACAAGTTCTGAAGCCTTTGATCAACAAGAAATCATAGAGAAACAAGAGAGAAAGCATCAAACACCAAATTTGTGCAAATCAAGCCAATTTTCCTTTCAATATTCATTTTGCTTTCAAGAACACCATTTGTGCTCATTTGTAATTATTTTTTAGTGTTATTTTCTTGTTCTAGAATTATGCAAACATCTTACCTTGTGAGGTTTTCCTTGTAAGTTTACAAATTTATGTATTTTCTTTGAAAAAGAGTGTGCTCAAGAATTTGAGGTATAATTCTTTAGGAGGTTGTAAGGTTACTATTTGTCCTCAAAAGAAAGAACAAATTAGTGAATTTGTTGGAAAATCCTTAGTGTGGATAGCTAAGGTAGTGGACGTAGACTTTGGTTGAGAAAGTCGAACCACTCTAAATCGTTGTGCAAATATTTTTAATTTTTTGCAAAAGCTTCCACCAAAATTTTAATTACAAATTCACCCCCTATTGGTCATTTTCATCAATCGATTAACTCAACATAATATTAATTTTTCAATTTTTTTTTAGGATTTCTAGTGATTTTCAAAACTTTCTATTCAGAACATAATTTCTAAGCAGATTTCACCAACTTGCATCCTTAACTTATTCACTAAATCTATAAGTTTACCAATTGAACATATAGGCTTGAAGTACACTTCTCATGCACCACCAGTCACTTCTTAACGTAACTCCAACACTAATTCATCACAAGTCAATGTTTGTTTCAATAACATAAATACAAATTAAATACACTCATCTGGTCTCTTTAGCTTGCAACCTTCCTTAGAATTTCCATTTCATCCTTAAACTTCTCCTTACCTTTAATAATATTTGATCTTGATTTCAAACACTCAGATTTTTAAAATATTTTAAAGTATTTAGAGATCCGGAGCCCCGCCTGCCTACCCCCACTCAGTTCCGTCCCTAGATAGCTGTAGTGAAAATAAAGCTCAAAACCATCACCATCTTTTATGGATAATCTCGTGTTTTTATAAGTTCCATAAATTAATAGGGTAAACTACATTAGTGACCACTTCACTATGATCAAAAATCATTTTGACCACCAATATTTCATTTTAATCAAACAAATCATCTAACTATTTAAATACTTCAATCAAGTCACTTATCGTTAACAGTTAACGGAATATGTGATGTTGCAATTAAAATATTTTGGTATAATTACACAATTAATCCATGTTACTTTATATATTTTTCAATTTAATTCTCCTTTTAATAAATTAAAATAATAACACTTGTCGTCATTCCAAGTTAAAACATCAACCTCTTATTGGAGGAAAATAAATCCACACAAAAAAAGATAGAGAGGAGGAATTGAACACACAAACCCTAGTTGGAATAATAGGTGCTAAACCTCTAGGCTAAAACAATCATTTGTTACATTTTGGACAATAAATAATATATATCTTATTTATTAGTAGGTAAATGCCTTCTTAAAAATTAATCATATTTTATATATCTTAAATTTTAAAAATATCTTTTATTTTAATATATTTAATATAATTTATTTTTTCTTAATTTATTAAATATATTTTATTTTTAATATAAAAATATATACTTTACCTTTATCATCATTTAAAATATATATTTAAAATATCTTAACTTAAAACATATTTAAAAATTTTATTAATAATTTAATATAAAAGTATATATTTTATTTTTATCTTAATTTTAAAAAATATATTTTTAAAATATCTTAACTTAAAATATATTTTATTCTTAATTTAAATATACTTTGAAGTTAAGATATTTTAATATATTTTTAAAAGTTAAAGATAATAATAAAATATATTTTTAATTTAAAATAAGAATAAAATATTTTTAATTAAATATAAGAATAATATATATATTTTATATTAAATTATTAATAAAAATATTTAAATATATTTGAAGTTAAGATATTTTAAATATATATATATATATATATTTAAAGTGATGATAAAAAGAAAAAATATATTTTTACATTAAAATAAAAATACATTTAATAAGTTGAGGAAAAATAAAATATATTTAATAAATTAAAATAAAAAAATATTTTTAAAGTTTAAGATATATAAAATATTTAATTTTGAGTAAGACATTTACACACTAAAAAACAAGATATATATTATTTTATTGTTCAAAGTGTATCAAATGATTGCTTCAGTCCAATGGATTTTAAGAAACAAGATATATATGATTACTTAAGCCAGCGGTTGTGTTTAATACCTTTTACCCACTTATTAGTGAGTGAATTTATTTTCGTTCAAGAGGATTACACGTGTTACATTCCTATTGGAGAAAAATAGATTTATTAAATTAAAATATATTTAACTCTCCAATCGAATGATTCATTATTTTAATTTATTGAAATGAGGATTAAATTAAAAATATATATAAATAATATGGACTAATTGAATAATTATATTAAAAATATTTTAACTATAACTCCACTTATTCTATTAATTACATATAATTTGATTGAAAGATTTAAATAATTGAATTATTTATTTGATCAATCTAAAATATCGATAACTAAAATAATTTGTAATTATAGTTAAATTGTCACCGGTGTAGTTTAACCAATTAATTGTAGATCCAATGGGAATCAAACTTTACCTTCGTTTAACTTTCAATATATATAAAAAATTATAAACCTCATATTTCACTTCTCGAAAGCTAATCTTTGTGAGTGCATTTTTTTTCTTTTCACTTTCATTCCAATTATAACTTGAGGGTCGGAGGCTTCCAGTTTTTTTCAAGCTTCAGTTCAGATTTCGACAGATCTTTCTTGCTGCTAGCATATATATTTTCATTCTTTGTTTTTCTCCCATCTGAGAACTAGATTTCGTTGTTTGGTGTGCTGTTTTTGTTTTCATCTAGGAGCATTTATTGAGACCTTTGAGAAACATAAAGGGCATGGCTTTAGCTCGGTTTGGTCGACAAGTGAAGCGCCAGCATGGGGTTTGTGTAAAGATGACAGCAGTGGCGATCTCGGGTCTTTGTTTTATTTTTGTTTGGTCCATGTTCTCTTCACCTTCTACTTCTGTTACTGTTCAAAGGGAGAGCTTTGATGACATCGCTGAACCTGTGGCTTCAAGCACAATGGTAAGCAAATCCAAGGGAAATGAATTAGAAAAACGTGATTCAAACGATCACAAAAAGAAGGTTGAATCTAATTTAAAGAAAAAAAATGAGAGAGGTGAACGGGTCATTGCCTTTACCTGCTCATGAACATGGGAAAAAAATGAGAAACATGTTTCAAAGAGGAAAAGGGACAAGGATAAGCCAAAGGTATCTAGTGAAGTACCAAAAGAAAATCAAGAGAATCAGAAGCAAGAAGAATCTCAAGGTGAAGAAGCCGAAAAGGAGACAGAAGTGGAGGAAGACTTTAGTAGTGGATGGCAACGAAGAAGGTTTAGATGGTGAAGGAGAAGAAAAGGGAGAGATTGAAGGCGATGCTGATCTTGGTGAATCAGTGGAACAAGAGACCGAGGAATTGGTGGACAACGAGAATGAAGGGAAAAAGAGAAAGATCAAAGGTCCTGTTTTTGATCCGAAAGCTCATTATAGTTGGAAATTATGTAGCACAAGGAGCAAGCATAATTATATGCCATGTATTGATGTTGAAAGTGGCTTCGCAAGGTTGCAGGGCTATAGGCATAGAGAGAGGACTTGCCCCAAAGCCCCTGCAATGTGTCTTGTTCCCCTTCCCCATGATGGTTATGATTCTCCAGTGCACAGGCCGGAGAGTAAATTGAAGGTAGTATACATATAGAATGAGGTTGATTTGTTCTCTGTTATGAATTTGAATATATGCTAATGCATTTTGAGTTCTAATGTTGTGGCAATCTAATTGTTTTGGCAGATATTGTACAAGAATGTGGCTCATCCGAAGCTAGCAGCATATATGAAGAACCATAATTGGTTGATTAAATCTGGGGAGTATTTGATGTTTCCCCAGAACCAGTCTGAATTCAAGGGTGGAGTTGTTCACTACCTTGAATCCATTGAAGAGGTGAGCCTTTCTTGTAGCATGTTTTAACGAAATTTCATGGATCTTTTGCACTCAAGTTCCAGATGTCGTTAGATGTTAAAAATTATTATTTAGTATAGCATAAATTTACCGGACAAGAGACCTTTCTAACGATGTCACTATATGATAACAAACTCATCTCCTTTCGGTTGCCATCAAGCTTAAAAGATCTGCAAAGACAAATATAGTTATATTGCAAAATATGCTTTATATTTAGCTTTTGCATTGCACATTTATTTACTACACATCCATAATGCAAACTGAACTAGTAATCGTGCGTTCAATGGACATTGCAGTTACTGTTTTCTTCCTGGTTAGTTTGGCCCTCTGTAGAACATGCATGTTGATTTTACACTTACCTAACTATATATTTCTTAATTTCCTGCGGCCTTGAGTAGGCAGCTTTTTACAGACTGTACTCGTAAATTTCTTAGGTATAGAAAGTAAGCTTCACTGATGGCCATTGAACCTTTATGTTGCAATACTTCCCTTGCTTGACATTTTTTTTTTAATTTTTGAGTTTATTTTCTTAGATGGTACCAGATATTGAATGGGGAAAGAATATACGTGTAGTGCTGGATGTTGGAAGCTCATATTCAAGCTTCATGGTGTAACCCCCAGACCGATGCGAAGGATCCGATCCGATCCGGGAAGTCACATTAGGGCCACCGGAGTGACCCACTGTAAAAATAGCGGAAAATTTAAAACTTTTATTGAAACATGTAACTTATAAAATCAGTTTTCACTATTTAAAAATAAAACAGATTTCCAGACTCGTATATAAATCAAAATACAATTACATGCCCCCTAATCACATGTATCATTCTCTGCAACAACGCCGGAAGAACTCCCTTACTAAAGTTGATAGATGCACTGGTACAATTCTTTTAACCTGAAAAGGTGAGTAATAGAGTAAGCTTTGGAAAGCTCAATAATACAGAACTATCAGATGATACTGATGAATGTGCAGATACAGATAAACATATATTTCCTTATAGTTTCCGAACATTTACAGATTTTTATGCTGAGCAGAGATCCTACTGATATTTCAGGTGGTAACGGACAATAAGCTTTCAGTTCAGAGAAATATTTTGGATGACTGAGTTCAGGAGATCAGAATAGGTTTTCTAGTGTGTTCCCAAAAACTATATAACTTTTCAGATCTTTTTAAAACATATATATATATATATACCCCCATCCCAACACATCATAATGTGTAGGTTCCCCAGAACCATACACCCAACCCAACACATCATATAAGGCCCTGAGCACAAAGTCGAGGAACTAGTAAGTAAGGCCCTGAGCACACAGCCGAGGAACCTCCAGGTAATCTTCCTCCAATAATACCCCCAATAAAACATGTTCCGTCAGTAAACGGATATATCAAAAATCAAAACATAATTCAAGTCAAGTATCATATCAGAATCCAGGTCATGTCTCAGATCAGAATCCATGCCAATATCATATCAGAATTCAGGTCAGGTATAATAACAGAATTCAAATTTGAAATCAGATAAAATATTCATGTAATTAGGGAACACACCAGAGTTTACATGTATTATTTAGAGGTACTGTATCAGGCAGAGAAACACAGTTCTTCAGTATGTCGATAGAATGTTGGAATTTAGAATCACTATTGGAAGAGTTCATTAACTGACAGAATCATCAGTTATTTAGAATGTGAATTATCAGGATATTATCTTATTCGGACAGTTTTCAGAAGTTGTACGTAATCAGAAGGGTATTCAGAATCCTATACATCTATGTCAATTGATCGGATAATCGAACAACTTGAGAACAAAGATTCAGAACCTTAACAATCTATGTCGACTGGTCAATTCATTTTCCTTCTAAAGTATTTACTCTTTAATACCACAAATTCTTGTCCGTAGACCATTTTCGGAATCATCGCTGAATAAATCTTCCAATGTCTTTATTTCATTTTCACGCTTCCACAATATCATGAAATGCTGACGTACTTGATTAATTTGTTCATAACCCATTGTAATTGTACACTACGTAAACTCATCAGAGTTTCCAGACTTATCCAAATCACTTATTAAATCCTCAGTCATTGAGGTTACCTAGTTCATTTAGCAGTCATGTCCATTCCAGTTACTTCAGGATTTTCCAGAGTAATTCAAACGTTCCTGAATTTCATATACATGTTGTATTTCTATTCCATTCAATTTGGTCTTCGTGGTTGATTTGTCGAACAAACGTCCAATTCTTAGTACTGAATACGATCTAGAGCTGAGCTGAATACTTCCAAAATTTATCATCGAGCCAAACTTGAGAAGATGAATACATGTTCTAGTAATATCTATGCCATTCAAGTATTGACATAGCTTTAGGGTTGATCTACTCACTTAAACTATTTTCCATTACCTTTAAAGGTAGTTCGATACCTATGCTTACTTGGATTCCTTAATTAATCTAAGACATTTACTTAATATAGGCCATAAAGGTATTTTGGTCATTTTGGTTTTCAGTTTTATTCCAATCATAACAGAGCTCAAGGATATCCCATCATTTCTGAGCTTGGTGATATTCTTGGGTCATTTCCATTACAGGGGTAATTTGGTCATTTTACAGATCCACGGTATTTCAATCTTTTTTCTCTATATGGTCTTATTATTTAATTCCAATTTATCATCTATTCCAGTCTGTTCGAACAATTCTGATAAAAGAGCACCCTCCAATAAATTGTTCTTCAGGTATTTACTCATAACTCGGATATTTTCGGTTCAAGTGCCTTCTCGGATTTTACAAACACAATATTATGAATTTTTCTTTACAAAGACAGAATATTAATAATTAAATTTGTACTTAATCGAATTAAGTACAAATCCTCAAAGTGCTTTCTCCTTCAGGGTCAACTCTGACTATTTTACCTCTCAAGGGCATTTTCGAAATTTCTTAACCAGATAATTTCGATATTAGCTCTTAACGAAAATAATATAATATAGAGATCCTATGATTAATTGCTTCCTCGAACATTCTTTGATTTTGAAATGATTCCTTAAAAGACTTCTAGTATCTAATATAAACCTTCTTGGGGTTAAAAATCGGTTATCCATAATTTTCAAGTAAAACTAACATTTCTTATGCACATCAATAGTTTTAGCAGATCAATAATTCTTTTCAGATTTATTAATCCACTTCCAGGGACAATTCTTGTCATTTTCTAACATAAGGGTAATTTTGTAATTTTACCTAATCAAAATATTCTCATAATTTATCATCTAAGTACCTTTAATGAGATAAATTATAATCTACATATCCATGGTTGATTCTTTTATCACTTAATTCAAGAACTTGTAATTTAATTCCAACTGTCCTCCAATTTCTTATAATAGTAATCTGAGCCATATTCAGTTACCTACTTTCTACCGTATTCGTATCTAGTGTAGATCTTCATTAATTATACATACGAGACCAAACATTTCCATTCATGCATTTACCAATACCAACATATTCTATAAAGCATAACGAGGTAGTAAAGTATTACCTCGATTTCCGTGCAATACTGATTGACCATAAAAATTCCATTCGAATGCCTTTGATCTTCAATTCAACTTCCAATAATTCCTCAGATACATATCAACATAAATTATATCAGAAACGAAGCTTAATTGAGATAAATGGATCGAATCGGGTGATAAATCAGTGAAAAATAGCTTATCGGGTTCGAATTTAGCAAAACGGACTTCGGATTCGGATTCAGGACGTCGAAAGCATAAAATATGACTTTTCGGAAATTTGAAATTTTCGGTCAAAATCAAAGTCAACGGGTTTGACTGGCAATTTAGAGGCCTTCCGGTTCGAATTTCAAAAAAGGACAGCAGAATCAGATTTGGAACGTCGAAAAATGTCATGATAGGTATACTCGGTCAAAGTCAAAGGTCGTTTAATGCCCGGTAAAAGCCAGTCAAAGTTTTGGTCAATAGTGGTCAACGAGTCAACGGGTTATGACCGGTCAAACCGGTCACTTTTGTCTTCCCCACGTGCAGTGACGGAGCGTGAACAGTGCCATGATATCGAAAAATTCCCGGAAAAATTCCTAAAAATTATTTTAAGCGATTTCGAGATACTTACAAAGCTCGGTTCAAATTTGTGAACGGCGGAGAGCTCGATTTCAACGAATCGGAAACTTTGACCGCTTCACCTCCTCACGCGCCGCCGTCAACGGAGACAAAGGATGACACTGACGGACTCAAAACGATGCAAGGAACACGATGGTGCGGGAGGTGTCGTAAACGGATGACCCAATCGTCGTGAATCAATGAAAAACCAATTGAAATCAAGTTATTACCGACGATACTTCCGACTGAAATTAACGACGAACGGAGACGATTCACAACGAAAGGTTTGAGGGATTTTGTTCCTCGGTTGACAACGAACACGATGGTGGTTTCGGCTCGTCGATCGGAGGTCGGACGGCGAGTAGATCAGAGTTGAAAGAGGGGTTGACGGGAGAGGGAAAACTGAAAAAATTTCCAGAAACATACGGAAGATTTGTGGTTTATAACATCTCATAATTAAAAATGGCTAAATCAAGAGTTTAGCCACTGAATTTCCTGCACTTCATAAAACGGTTTTCCAACTTTAAAATTTTGTAATTTAACCCACTATTTCTTTCAAAATACCAAATTAAATCCACCACTTTATAATTTCTTAATTTTAGCCCATAAATTGGGGTGTTACACATGGCCTCCCTTTTTGATAAGGATGTATTGACATTGACACTGGGCTTGAAGGATGATCTTGTTGACCTAGCACAGGTTTCCCTTGAGCGTGGTTTTGCTACAGTTGTTAGTCCCTTTGCAAGAAGACGACTTTCTTTTCCTAGTGGAGTTTTTGATGCTATTCACTGTGGTCAATGTACAATCCCTTGGCATTCTCATGGTATTTGTACCCTTCCTTTTTTGTCTTGTAAATTTTATGTCATATTTTAAGTATCATCAGTATTGATAATCCGGAACCGGCTTTGCTTTTGTTCTCAATTTTCAGAGGGTAAGCTTCTAGAGATAAATAGGATTTTGAGGCCTGGTGGATACTTTATTTTGTCAACTAAACATGACAGCATCGAGGCGGAAGAAGGTAAGGACTTGTCTTTTCATTTTTACGGTTAATTATGCTTTTTGAATACAGACGTAAATGTTGCCATATGCCTTCACTTGAAAATTATTCTGTCAATGCTCCAAATATGAAAATAGGATTTTTACCATCTTGACTACTATGTAAAATTCATGGAATGTATCGCGTCTCTTCTTTAGGACTTCCCTTGCTGTGTGCTAGAAAGATTTTGCAAAGTAGATAGAACTTAACCTGCTGCTACATTATGGTTCGTGTTTCTGCCGCTCCTGAAGATTTTGCCCCAGGCCATGTGTTTTTATCATAATTAGGATGCACTGTTTGGCGCTTTTTTTTAATATACAAAAAATAATTGCTCTTTTATTTTGTATGATGATATTCACCTCTAACACTGTTGTTTGTTCTAGCTATGAACACATTGACTTCTTCAATCTGTTGGAATATTCTGGCTCATAAAACTGATGATGTCAGTGATGTGGGTGTTAAAATATATCAGAAGCCTGATTCCAATGATATATATGTGTTGAGGAGGAGGAAAAATCCGCCTTTATGCAAGGAGCATGAAAATCCGGATTCTGCCTGGTAAGTTCGGACATGCTTGCTTTACATAGCTGTGCTTAACCCTAACATAGTAATAATTTAAACCTAATTTACTTGGTGGCTGCAATTCTTTTTGTGGATAGGTATGTTCCAATGAAAACTTGTTTGCATACCATTCCATCTGTAATCGAACAACATGGGACTGAGTGGCCTGAGGAATGGCCTAAGAGCCTCGAAACATATCCGGAATGGTTGAACAACAAAGAAAAAGCAATTGATGATACCAAGCACTGGAAAAATATTGTTGACAAGTCCTATCTTACTGGAATGGGTATCGACTGGTCAACTATCAGGAATGTGATGGACATGAAAGCCATCTATGGAGGGTATGTTTGCTTCGCAACAAAATTCTAGTAATATTGATTATAGCAGCTCTTTTCTTCTTCTCCTTCAGTTTTGGAAAAATATTATCTATCAAGAAATGATGTTGAAATGTTTTGTCCGATAACAGTTTTGCTGCTGCACTCTTACAACAGAAAATTTGGGTGATGAACGTGGTCCCCATCCATGCACCCGATACACTTCCCTTCATTTTTGAACGTGAACTTGTTGGCGTCTACCATGACTGGTGCGAGCCTTTTGGGACGTACCCTAGATCGTATGACCTGTTGCATGCCGATCATTTTTTCTCCAGGCTAAAAAACAGGTTAGTTCTCATTGAATTTTACTGTCATCCGCAAAGATGGTTTTGCCTATCCTGTCACTCTGATTGATGGGTTCAACATCAGGTCATTGTATAACACCAGCTGTCGACACATATTTTTCGTCTCTATGGCATTTACATTTGCATTTGTGTTATTATTTATAATATATGGTTTATGTGTATACATATCATATTATTTTTATAATTACACTTGATTTACAGGTTACAGGCCCAATTGGTGCCCACAAATCCACATGTGGTTCAACATGCCAAACCCAAGTCACGCGCCCAACGTGTAGGATTTCCAGAAACCCTAGCAAGACTTCACTCCATCAGCGTCGCATGGTGCATCCAGCTCTCCCTCACTCGTCTCTCCACAAGCGCCACAGTCCCCACTTGGCACGCCGCTTGTCACGCAACGAACCCACTTTTCTCGGCCTCCAACTTACGTGAATGTGTAGGACACCAACTGCTCAACATAGCCCGGTTCTCTCGGCCACAAGCAACGATCGTGGATGTCAAACAAATAAAAGTAGTTGAGTTTGATTAGGACTCAAGCTAGACCAAAAAATAGGCATGCATTTTTGTATAAATAGGCATGTAATCAACAGTATTAGAGGGATTTTTTTTTTTGATACGAAATTTCGAGCAAAGTTATACCAATATTCAAAGCAATCCAAGTAGTTTTATTGAAAACTTCGAAGGCTACAGAGGTAAAAACCTTACCTTTTTTTGTTTGATACGCTTGCATGTGGGAGTTGTTCGTGTTTTGTTTCCGTTTTGTGCTCGTTCCAAACCTCAAATACGCTAATAAAGCCGATGAACAGGGGTATAGGTCGGGATTTTCGAACCCAGATCTGGCCCCCGAGGCTTACTTTTTAAAGAAACGATTTTGGTTTTTTTGAAACGAGGAGGTGAAGGGCTTTCGAAAAAATAAAATTTTAGGGTTTACCGCCGATGAACGACGGCCGGCACCGTTCAACGGTGGCCGGCGAGGCGGAGCGGGGTGGCCATTGGTTGATTTCTGGTTTTCAGTGGTGGTCGTGTTCTTCAAATGAAGAACACGGTTGAATAAACGAGAGAAACTGCAGAGAGGGGAGGGGAGCTTTTGATTGTGAGGAGAGAAATGAAATAGAAAAAATATGTTTGAGTCATATATTAACCCGTTCCAGCTTATGCCCGACCCGATGAACCTCGAACCCGCGTGTTTTTTCAAGAAGCGAGAGATTTGCGTTTTGGTTCTCCAGTTTCAAAAACATTTAATTTGGTCCTCTGAATCGATTATTGAACCTGAAATCCTTGTAATTTGACCCTCGAGTTTATTTCGTTTTCAATTTAGTCCCTACTATTATTATATACTATATTTTCATTATTATTATATTTTATTCCTTTATTTATATATATATATATATATATATATATATATATATATTTTATGTATATTTTTATTTTATTTTATTATACATATATATATACATATAATCATCGTTATTTTTATTATTTTAAGTATTATCGATAGCGTATATAAACATATATTTTTTTTCTTTTATTATTATCTGTATATTTATTTCTATTCATTTGTTTTATTTAATAATATATGTGTTATTTATATATAGTTTTCGTGTTTTTTTAACATCATTATCATTTTCATTTTATTCTACTTTGTATTTTTTAGTTTATTTTCATTATTCCTTTTTATTTTATACGAACATATTTGATTATAGTTATTTATTTATTTTAGTTTTTATTTATTTATTACTATTATATATATCTTTTTATTTTTCCCATTATTTATATCTTTATCATTATTACCGTTATTCTTATTTATCATTTGTTTACTTATCTTCTATTTTATTTTTATTGTATCTCTTCTAATATTTTATATATTTATATATGTATATATATTATGTATACTTTATGTAATTTTTATTATTATTTTTCTAATGTCTTATTTATATGCCATATTTTATTTTATTTTCTTTTTTTTCTTCTCTATTTTACCTTACGTTTTTATGCTTGTCCTTATTTTTGTTTCATTCATGTTCTCTACCTTCATGTTAATTATGTTTATTGTTTATTTTTGTCTATTTTGTTCTTTATTGCACTTTCTTTATTTTTGATTTATTTTCACCACCATTTGTTAACGCTTCTCATGACTTTTTAAGGGTATACTTTTAAATCGAATCAGTGGTAAGCAATTTGGATCAATATTTTACCTTTTAATTTAACTTTCAATTTTCTTAATTAAAGACAACTGGAAATTACGTAGTACCGAAAGGGCGGTTCAAGGGTGCTAATCCTTCCTTGACCGTAACCGACTCCCGAGCCCGACATATTTCTGGTAAGACGTAGATCAGGTAAGATGGTGTCCGACCCACCTAAATTCATTTTAAAATGGTCGGTGGCGACTCTAACTCATTTAATCCAAGTCGAAGCCCAATTCCGGGGCCCAACCGAAAGACGGCTGCGACAGCTTGGCGACTCTGCTGGGGACACAGGTAAGTGAGTCAGGCTAAGGTAATTTTCAGTTGTCTTTTTAACGAAAAGGGTAAGTTTGAATTTGAAGGTAATTTTTCGATCCTTATTACTTATTTTTTGATTATATTTTTCGAGTAAATAGTTGGACTGACCGTTTTCTAATGATTTCAGCTTTCCAAACATTTTCATCTAAGGCTCTAAACCCGAGCTCCGAACCCGTTTTAAGTGGGGGTGAAAGCGACGCCTTCGTGTGAATTTATTCACCGTATGGGCCTAGCAAGTAGCCTTCGGGATTCATATACCTTATGCCTTCGTGTGAATTTATTCTCCGTATGGGCATAAGGGAATGTGTCCTCTCGAGTTTAACTTAGTCCACACAAGCCTGTGATGGGTTTCGGACTAAGGGTCTGGTCGGTCCAAGGGGGCGCCAGCAAAGAGAACTCGAGTACCGTTTTTAGAACCCAAACCGGGAGACTTTGAATAAATAGAGCCTACCCCAAAACCACATTCCAAAACCTAGGACATTTCTTTCCTAACCTTTTTATTTTTTATGTTTTTTTCATTTACCATTTATTTTTATTTATTTTTATCTATTTCTATTTTACTAACGTTTTTGCCTTTGTGTTTGTTTTCTAGCATTTGCATCATTACAAGAGGCTATTGATCCCTAAAAAACGTTTGTTATACACAAAATAATTCGAGTTAATGGACAAAGGTGTTGTAATACAAGAGATTGAAAACGCTGAGGCACGACTATGGTCCGAGAAGGCTCAGAAAGAGAAGGGAGACAGTCTTCAGGGAAACTATGTGTCAGAACTGGTTAGTTATGCCGCTGTCAGCCTGAAACAGAATAATGTCCAGGAGCTGCGAAACATTTGGGACAGTTGGAAGAATGACAGAAAGCAGAAGTTCAGCCAACGATATGGTGATATCGCCCTCTTGCTCCATGTCAAGACTGATGAGCCCTTACTCCGAGCATTAATTCAATTCTGGAACCCGGGATATAGTTGTTTCACTTTTAACCAAGAGGACATGGTGCCTACCATCGAAGAATACACTACACTGCTGCATTGTGAAAGCATCAAGCTTGAGCGAGCCTACATTAAACACATCAAAAGCCAGCCCTTCAAGAATGCACTAGCCAAAGTTGCAGGAGTAGATGAGAAATGGGTAATCGATCGGACTCAGCGTAGAGGCAGTGGAGAAGGAATTGAATGGATCCACATAAAGCAACTAATGAAAAACCACCCTGATGAGTGGAAGACCATAGACCTTTTTGCACTGGGTCTGTACGGTTTGATTATCTTTCCGAAAGCTTTGGGGTGCATTGACGCTGCCGTGGTGGAACTATTTGAGCAACTTTCTAAACGAGTTAACCCAGCACCAGCCATCTTGGCCGAGACCTTTCGATCGCTCAACCATTGCCGAAGAACTGGCGGAGGAAGATTTACCGGGTGTATTCAGCTCCTTCAGGTCTGGATTCACAGCCATTTCTGGAAGACTAACGGGGTTGCCTACCGCCGTTTCAGCACCACCTATTCACCTCTAGGTGAATTCATCACCTTGAAATGGCATGAAGGCGCTTCGAAAGAAAAATGGATGAAGGTCTTTACGCATCTTCAGGATCAGGATATTGTCTGGAGAGCCCCCTGGCTTTTTCTCAGTGACGTTCTTTTTCGATGTGGTGACTCCGACACTGTGACCTTACTTGGAATTTGGGGAGCAGTCGGGTATGCTCCGCTATTAGCACTTAGACAATATGGAGCACGTCAGTTTGTCCCAGCAACGTGCGGGTTGGCTAGGTCAGAGTTTGAGTATCACGGCGATAGCTATAAGAAGATGATCAAAGAAGCAGCCGATTCTTGGAGAAAAGTATTCCGGATGGATGTTGTAGCTGCCAGAAGCATGCTCACTCCGGATTATGTGGAGTGGCGAAGATTGAGAAAGAATGACAACATCCCTGTGCCAAACTGTGATGACACCCGAACCATGGAAGAACATCTCAGGCATGTCCCTTCTGAACTCGAGATAGCCAAGACCGAGTTTGAAGCCGTGAATAATGAGCTGAAGTAAAGGATAAAGGAACTGGAAGCTGAACGTTATCAGTGGAAGCTTGATGCTGACTCTTAGAAAGATCGGGCAGAGAAACTGGAAAAAGAACAAAAAAGAGTCCGTTTTGAGCTCGAAGACTTGAGAAAAGGGTATCAGGATAAGGTCAAGGATAATTCCAAGTTGAAGGTAACCTCTGAATACTGGAAAGACGAAGCTCATAGCCTGAAAAGGAAGTTTGAGGGGCCTGATGAGAAAGCTTGGAAGGAACAGATGAAGAATGCCCAAAGACGCTTGGCAGATAGTCAATATCAGAACCAGCGCTTGAGAGTTCGGGTAGCTGACTTAGAAAGACAACATGAGAAAGATGGCAAGACAATAGCTGAGTTAGAAGCTATTGTAGATGGGTTCAAGAGGCAAGCAAACGAGCTTCAGATAATGCCTTTCGACGGAGGATTACAATGGCGTTTCCGTTGGG